GAGGGACAAGCTGAACGACGTAAAGGAACACGTATTCGTACACGAGCCCTGTACATAGGGAGGTTCCGTACATATGTACAGTGGCTGTTAGGGTAGCTGGAGGAAATTCGAGGTGTGTACGTGGTTGCAAGTGTATCTGCGGAGGCCTTGGGCGAAGTAAGGGTGGCGGTGGAGGTGTGCAGTGGTAGCTAGTGCGAGGGGGATAGACGATAGTGAGGCGGTTGGGCGAAGAGGGGGGGAGGGGGGAGGTGGAGGCAGTTTGGTGGGTTGGGGTAGATGGTTGAGCGAGCGAGGATGGGCGAGGGGTGGTATGATGACAAAACATTCGCTCTGAGCTTCCGCTGGGGTGGTTGGGAGGTTAGGTTAGGTTAGGTTGGCCGGGAGGTGGGCTGAAAACGTGAGCGCGAGGCGGAAGGAGACAGGGGGCTTAGCTGGGAACGGAGGGTGGACTGGGACGGTGGGCTGCTAGGGGCGAGGCGAAACGGAGGTGGAGGTGGAGGTTTATATCCATCATTTTGTATTTCTCGCAGACATAAAAATCTATACCATCCCCGAGCTATCCACCAGCCCTCCACGTCTCCTCCCACCTCCCCCCCCCTACATCCACCTCCACCTATACTCTCGCTCTCTTCGCTCCTCGGGACAGGGGCGCAAATATCGTATTTATTGTATGACTGCGATGCGTATCCCCATTCGTCGTATATTGCCGGCACATACGACCTCCTCTCCTGCGCCTCTATACCCCGTAGTCGCGCCTGGTGGAGATATATGTACGGGTCCGCTGTGTATTTATATCGCGGAACGTAAGGGCCGATACACACCGGTCGGATAATTCTGAAACGACCGAGTCACGTGCAAGTGTCGACCTGTCTCCTTCGGACTGTTCTCAGTTCCGATGGGCACCACCCTTACTTACGCGACTTTCGTTTACGCGGCCCACCCCTCATAAGGCATTAATCGTTTTCGCACATTGTGCACGTGACTTAAGGACTACCTGCTCTTTTACGTGTCTTCCCACTTTTTTCTTCTTCTTTGCTTCGTCGCGCTTTACGGTTTATCGTAATGGCTTCTCGAAAGACATTGTACCCGGTCGGTATGACGGTCCGATTTATTCTCCTACGTTTATGCGTCCCCTGATCACGGAATTTGCCATTTGTTCCGTCGATCAAGTTTTACCCTCGAAACCGACAGTGTTGGTCGTGCGAATCAGGGGCGACGTGGGCGTCGTCGCGTTTAAAAGTTACGTCACGCGAAACGGTGTCTTTGTTGTTATTCACTTTTATAACACGACTATTCAGTTACGATCTTTATCAGCCGGCGACCACATAGCTCGACGATAGTTCCTCGACCGAGCGTCAGAGGTGCCACTTGGTTATAACGAGAAGTTCCTGTCAAACGTGGATTATTCATGGAAATTATTCTTGAGCGTATAATTCCGGCAGAACTTTCTTCGAGTTTTCTACTTGCCAACAATTGCCTTGTGAATTGAGACGTCAGTCTCCGTCTCCTTCGCCAATTATAATACAACCAGAGCGACTTGCCTCTTATACGAAATTATCGCACCTCTCACAGTCGATGCGGCTGCTTCTTATTATTTTCGCCCCTCGAACATTTCAACATATATATATATATATATTAGAGGGGGAAAAATTCAAGAATGTTCTAGAACCAGTTCTTAACAGACTTCTTTTCAAGGGTTAACTCCTACAGCTGTTCATTGCCGTATAAGAGATAGCACGGAAAAAAAATAGCGGGAATGACGTAGCAAAGTACGGAAGCATAAGGGTGGTAAAAATTAGAAGATTCTCGAAGGCGCAGTCGAGTTAAGATATGAGGGGTTACGGGTGGTCGAATGATAGAGCTGCCCTTAATACCCGACGTACCCGACAGACTGGGCGCCCGAGCAAGTAGTAGGGCTGCCCGGGGTGGGTGGGGCTGGAGGGAACGGAATAGAAGGGATGATAACATTTGTATCATATTTAACGCTAGAACGAGCAGGTTAAGGGGTGGAAGACACTCCATCCCCCCAGTCCTTCGTCTATCTCACTCGCTCTCTCGCCCTTCCCTCCGCGCCCGTAATGCCACTGAAATCAATACTACCACAGCATTCTATTTACCCAAGTTCACCGGCCGTATACAAATTTATTGCGTGTCTCGCGCGTATAATCCCTAATCTCCGGGCCGAGACGGGCAACTGAAAATTATTTAGCCAGCGGATTAAAGTCGACCTGCGTACTGTCCTTTACCACACGTGCAAGATTCCCATCGTTCGCGAGCCTAACGAACAAATGCCTTTTCTCCGTGTACCCCAGAGGGACTAAGCTGTAACCAATAGGAATGCAATATGACAGATCCACGTAAGTTTCTATAGATTTTGGATTTTTAACATATTTTTTTTAGACTTAAGACAAAATTATCTCCGTAAAGTTGACAATTAAGTGACACACCCTCGGGAAAATATTTTTCGAAAATCGTCCGAAACGGATTTTCTTTGTATCGCGCGAATGAAGATGCTATTTAAGTTATTGATAACGATCTTTCATTTCGTTGCGCAACTCTTTCCGTCGTACCAAAATCGATCACTGTACCTCTCGTATAATCAGGTTTATTCTGCATCGATATAATCGTTCTTTTGACCGATAATCGCGTTACGCGAATCGCCCTGTAGTGTACGCGGTCGAAACATAGTATAGTCGAACAAGCGATACCCAATGGTATGCTGTACGCGTATAGATATATATATCCTATTATGAACGAGTACCCGGGAAGACACAGTATACTTTAATGACGCAACGATGCACCAAACTCCATACCATACAATTTGCTACGAAATACAGTTCATAATTGTTTCACCGGTACATTAGAGACTTTCGAGACATTAACGGACCCGTGTATGCTGTCACGGAGTCTGGTAGTCTACGTAGGATATCGTGGAAAGTATAGAGAGATATAGGTATAGCCGTTGCCAGGAGTAAAAGATTCTGTTCAGGTGACTCATTTACATTGAAAGTCATAAGAATATGTCACCTCCGAGAGTATACTACGCGGACAGTTTATGTAACTTCGGGAGGCGTGGACTGTATGTAAAATAGTAACGTCAGACCAAAATACGACCAAAATTATCCTAATACGACCCGTATTAGGACAGCATCGATTCTCCAGCGCGCCATCGACTGGCAATTCACGGATTCAAGGATGATCGGGAATGCGTAAGATCTATATCACGCTAATGTAAATATGGCCAACTAACAAAAGCTTCACTCACCGCCTTCCTAGTAGTTCCAGGTATCCGCCAGGCACGACCTTCTTGGTATTGGATCGCTCGACTGGTTGCGCTACGGTACGGTAGACTATTGCAAGAGGATACAAACTAGACAAGACTAGAAAAAAAAACAATACGAGACGGTAAAATATTTACAAGACGAATACATGTCTGTTCCTAGACTCGGCCATACCTGACGCTACGAATTTTGAAAATTGGGAACCTTCCCAAGAGGCGCGCTGTAATACATCCCTACGCCAATCGGATTGACGGACATATTTGCTTGGCCAGGGCGCTCGCGATCTTCAGTTGTTTTCTTCGATCCTGATAAAGTAGATTCTAGCATTTATTTGCGTTTGGCATGGCTGCAGTGATAGCTTAGAGAGGCGGGAATCACATCCAGCTCTGCTCCCCCGATGGACGGCTTCAGGCCGTTACTGCAACTTCCGTATGACCTCTGGATCGGTAAGACGCTCGCCGAGTTTCGCGTAACTGGCCGCTTGGGTTATTGTGTACTGGCGGGGTCGGGCCTGGCTGCCGCGTCGCCTCCGCCAGGCCCGTAGTTGACACTCTCGGGGCCCGTGGTATTGAAATTTTGACAGGATCCTTTCGGATGCGTTTGAAAAAAGTATAAAACAAAAAAAACGTTCCCAGGAGGAAAATAAGTGTAAATTTAAATAATAATACCCAGTTCAACGCCACAAAATCTCTAATCAGATTCTTTTCACTATATACACACTGCTATTGCATCTGCTGTGTCACATTATATTTTCCATCAGATCTTGTCATTTCTAAACTAGTCTCTAAAATCGTATCGATGCTTACTGAATCTCGGTAGGGTCGATCTTCAGTGATTATACAAGATCAAGTATCGATCGATCGTAATTGACGATATTTTAATTGAAAATAATAAAAAAAAAATGAAAGTGATAAGAAAATAAATCTTCGATCGGTACTTTTTTTTAGGTATGACGTGGTACAAATTTTGGTTTTTCTTCTATTTCAGGATAGCGACGGCGAAAAGAGTGATCAGGATCTGGTGGTCGATGTGGCGAACGAGGTAAGTTTGAAAATCGTAGGATACGTGGACTTTCGTTATTGAGTGAATTGATCGGATTATCAAGGCGATTTTAATAATAAGCGTTGGATACCTAAGAGACATACGGAGGGTGTTGAGCGGAATTGTTGAACAATGTTGAAGGAACCGCCGTCTCCCCATGCGAATGGAGAACATTCAGACCCCCGAGAGAACGGGACATTGGATAAATTGGTGGGTGTCCCTGGTCATGGCGGCGGACCCTCTTCCGGTTCCGGGCCCACCTCGACGAAGGACAGGCCACCCTCTCGAAGTGGCAGTTCTTCGGCTCGTAGCACGCCCTCTCTGAAAAGTAAAGATGTAAGATCTTGCGCAGAGCAAGCTCCAACGATCGTCTACGGGCGATCCCGTTATTTAAGTGAAGAAAAAAAAAAAAGAAAAAAAAATTAACGTTCACGATAGAATCAGACAAAAGTGCACAGAGAAGCCATATTCTAATTCGTGAATCGGTGATGGGAGGGTGGGGTGGGTGGTTGACTCTGTGTATATCTGTGGGAAAGCTTTTTATAGGTCCTGATAATAATCTTTTGGGTCTATCCTTGGAATCCGAAGGTCGACAAGCCGGGTACTCCTGTAGCGGCAACAGCGGCGTCGGCGGCAGCGGCGAGGGGCTCTCGCAGCTGTACCCCAACTTTGGGGGGCATTCCTGGCCCCTTGGCGCCCCGGGGCTACCACCCGCCATTATCGCAGCAAACACCCCCTCAGGGCTATCAGGGCTTGCCATCCCGAGGCAATGAGCCACCCCAATCACCCTCGTCCTACAACAATTTGTCCTACGCCAGGCCATCGATGGTAACTTGTTTTTAGCGCTGTTTCAATGGGAACTTCCGGTTTATACGTTAAACTCCCTACTGAGCTAACCGATCTCTGTTTCGTTGCTTCACGACTGTACTGCACGGAACTAGCCTTGGTACCGTGATTGATTTTCCTTTTCTGTTCCAATTCAAGGCGGGTGAGAATGACCCGGGGGGAGGAAAAAAAATAATAGCCTGATATATTAGTGCAATCGAGGATTTATCAAGTAGGCTGTCACGTGACAAATCACATGGGGAGAAAATCGATAAAAAATAATAATTTTACGTCATACCGGAGACACGTGGGTCACCCCCACCGTCGATCTTGATTCGTGAAGTTGTCGCCGGATGGAAAGTGAAGTGGCGCGCGCGGAGCGACACGCTGTGGCTGCTGATACTTTTAAGCACCGATCTTTATGTACCTTGCAGGATGTAAACGTTAGTAGCGTGACACGCCCCTCCTCTTAACATCCGGGCAACCCGCGCCACGTACTCGAGTCTCCTCCGACCCTGTTAAAGTTCAGCCGCGTAACCCTTATTATCTGGGTTAGCCGACTGTTTACACCGACGGCAGGATCCGTGCGCTATGGGCTTGCAGGGAAATGTTTTTATTTGCAGCTCGGATTCGATGGCCACGTGAGGGTCCCTTCCAGCAATGGGCTGAGCAGCATACCCGGTGGTAAACCGTGAGTTTTCTTCTTTGACCCCTTTCATTTATGACGTGTACGAAATACGCTGAGACCGGGAGCTCGATGTGTCTTCTACAGGCTGTTTCACGTAAAGTGACATATCAGCTGGTTTTTTTTTGTTTTTTTTTTTTCACGAATTCGTTAAAATTTTTATACGAACGAACTGTCGAGATTTAATATAGTTTTTAATATATAGGTCTATGTTTATCTTTATTTTGAATTCTATAAATTGCGTCCAGTCATTTTTGCTGATTATTTATTTAGTCAACAGTAAATATTCATGCTTAATATATTCTGTTTTGGGGGCTCGATAACCTGTTGAATGCGACCTCGTTAAACGCGTTAATTAACTCAATGGTGAATGAGCCAAAATACAATTAAGTGAAACAAAGGGAACAGAAGCAAGCTCGTCATTGTCTATTCTCCAAAAGTTGTCTGTTCAATGATTATTTTTTTTGATATGTCACTAACACGGGTAGTATCACGTGAAGCATCCTGTAGAGTGTCCACTCCGCAAATGAGATATAAAATATCAGGTGTATTTGTACAGTATTAGAAAGATGCCAACTTTCAGGAACTTTTCAAAGTTTTAATCTACAGTCTGAGCCGTTTTAATTTTCATTGACTTTCTCCACCAATTTCTCGCTGGACTCTGGTAGTTTCGTGTGTTCGGATGCGATAACGTTAACACCGAAAAGAGGATAAAGTAATATCAAGGAAATACAGCCTGCTGCCTCACAGTTGAATTAAAGTCAAGAGCGTTTGATAAAATTTGTTAACCATAACGTAGAATTCCATTTGCAAGTTTCGCGCATACAGAAATATTACTTCTAGTTTCTGTAAATGGAAAGTCCGCTAGTGAAACTCTATGCATTAATATGAAACACCACCTATCGAACCCCGTGGAGCAACTTGGATCATGACATTCGCCCCTAGTTGGGTTCACAAATTGAACTCTATAACAGAAGCAAAAGTTAGTAATGCTAGTTTAAGCCGCACGCAGCGCTATTGTTCCAACATCCGTGACGAATATTTGACTGGCAGACTTGAGGATTGAGAAAGAAATGAATAGCGTGGCACTGAGTGTTTGGATACTTTGTAAGGGGAAAAAAGTCAAAAAAGACTAAGCTGTAACTCCGGGCATGAGTTAGAAATTGACTTATGCAAAAGTTATCAGTCATTTTCCCATGATCTTACAAGATAACCTAACGGACGCCCAACGCATCGACGAAGAGAGTCAAATGAAATAATTTCTTTGAATTTTCAGGGCATACTCCTATCACATGAACGGAGAGGGTCAGCTGCAGCCCGTTCCCTTCCCTACGGATGCCTTGGCCGGTTCTGGAGTGCCTAAGCACGCAAGACAAATAAACACGCTGACCCACGGCGAAGTGGTCTGTGCAGTGACTATCTCAAACCCCACGAAATACGTGTACACGGGTGGCAAAGGATGCGTAAAGGTCTGGGACATCGGTCAGGGCGGCACAGGGAACGCGAAGCCGGTCTCCCAGCTGGACTGTCTCCAGAGGGACAACTACATCAGATCAGTGAAGCTGCTACCAGACGGAAGAACCTTGATCGTCGGCGGCGAAGCAAGCCAATTGAGCATCTGGGACCTGGCAAGTCCCACGCCACGTATCAAGGCGGAATTGACCTCCTCAGCACCTGCCTGCTACGCCCTGGCGATCTCCCCGGATTCCAAGGTCTGCTTCAGTTGCTGCAGCGACGGGAACATCGCGGTCTGGGATCTTCAGAATCAGACGTTGGTCAGGCAGTTCCAAGGTCACACGGATGGCGCCTCCTGCATCGACATCTCCGCCGACGGTTCGAAACTCTGGACCGGCGGCCTGGACAACACCGTTCGCTCCTGGGACCTTCGCGAAGGTCGTCAACTTCAGCAGCACGATTTCACCTCGCAGATCTTCTCCCTAGGGTACTGTCCAACTGGCGAGTGGTTGGCAGTCGGCATGGAGAATTCAAACGTTGAGGTACTTCACGCAACGAAGCCTGATAAGTACCAGCTTCACCTGCACGAGTCCTGTGTCCTGTCGCTTCGGTTTGCTTCATCCGGGAAGTGGTTCATCTCCACCGGCAAGGACAACCTGCTCAATGCATGGCGCACGCCGTACGGAGCCTCGATATTTCAGGTAGCCCACCTGTTGAATTACAATAAACGTTATTCAATGTTACTTCGATATTTTCGATTGTGATTAACACACTTACCCATTTGCTTCCCAGTCGAAGGAGTCCTCGTCGGTGCTGAGCTGCGACATCTCCACGGACGACAAGTACATCGTGACCGGTTCCGGCGATAAGAAGGCAACAGTCTACGAAGTGATTTACTAGAGTTCGGTTAGGTAGAAGCCCTGTATATTTTTTTTTCTCATCAGACCAGTGACCCTCCCCCAATGTAATTCCACTCTCGTACCTTATACATCCTCCGGGTACCGTGTTCCCTTTCATCCCTTCGTTCCCGATCCGCAGTGTCACTGGCGCGAGAGACGCGCACGAGACCCGACAGCCTTAACGATATATCACGCAAGATTGTAAATAGTGAAAGCGACAGCGTGGCGTCTCCTAGCGGAGGACGCAGCAAGACTGAGGGACGCCGTGTACCATTGGGAGAAAAAAAAGGGGGGGCGAGTGCGCGCTTTTTTTGTACAGTAAACGATAAATGTGTTTATAAGAAACGGCCGCTTGTGGACGTCACATGTGATTTACCTGCACGTGAGAAACATTGTAAGAAGGAAGATTAAAGGAAAAACAAAAATAGAATCAACGTGACAGAGGGGAAGTGACACGGGTGGGGTGGGTGAAGTTTTTGTCACGAATTTACGTACACGTAAATGTGTGTACATAAAACGGACCTCTTCTTGTATATTGTGCTATCGTGTGATTGGGTGGGACGTCAAGCACGACGCTCGTCGTCGTTCTCCCTCCCTCCCCCCCTCTCCTCCCGCCCCCACAAGTGTATACCATATGCATGTACTTTCATTTTGTTAACGCACAAACGGTTTAGGAATTAAGTAAGCGATTCGTTAAGTCAATGTGAAACTCTGTACAGACAAGTTGTATATCTCGATTGTACACGCAGGCGCTTTGGTGCTCCTTCGTCGGCTTGACGTTTGCATATGTAAAGTATCCGCGAAATAGAAGAAAAAGAAAAGCAGACTATTTCTCTACCTTTAGACAGAAGGACGGGTACGAGTTGGTCGGAACGGATGTTAAAACGCATAGAATGTAAACGTTCGTCGAGAAAAGTCAGTCAGTCGTCTCAGTCAGTCAATAAGTACGACCCTGAAAACATATGTTCTTCGCCGCTTCGCTCGTAGTTCCGTTTCCTCCCGAAGTGTCAGCTCGGTCGGTAACTTGCATCGCGCGATCCGTTCTTTATCGATAGTTCAGAATAAAAAAGACAAAAGGACCCAATGTATTAACGATAAATTATATATTTATTACCCGACGTAGCGACGCTAAACGCGAGTTTCGCGTCATTGTTCTACCACGATCTAAGTAGTTTATACGACGAATGATATTACGGTTTTATTTATTATCCTGCAATCGAGCCAGTCACTCAGTGTGCAAAATAAATCATTTATGCCGAGGAGACAGTTGACGTTTCAATTTTTCTTTTCTCTCTGCTTCTGCAATGACAATTGGAGTGAGATTAGGCGATGTTAATTCATTTTTTATGTATTAACGCATTGAAGGAAGACGAACGAATGATCGAGGAAGAAACACGTACGTTGACCCAGCATGACGGTAAGAATACGTGAAGAAGAGGGG